AACTGGGGACCGCGGTCTGAAAGGATCTCCTCAGGGATTCCATGGAGCCGGAAAACATGTTTGATCGGGAGCTAGGCAGTGACAACAGAGGAGGGAAGAGATTTTAGAGGGACCAGATGACAGGTTTTAGAGAAATTATCAACAATAGTCAGGATGGAGTTGAAACCATGGGAGTCTGGTAACCCACAAACAAAATCCAGAGCGATGTGTGACTAAGGGCGTGAAGGGGTAGGAAGAGGACACAACAGACCGGCGGGAGGTTGGTTGTTACGTTTTTGTTGAGGACAAATGTGGCAAGCAGAGATGTAATCCTTTACGTCTTTGTATAGGGATGGCCACCAGAAGGAGCGTCTTATGAGCGCTAAGGTACGCCCCACTCCAGGGTGGATAGCGAATTTACTGGTGTGGGCCCAGTGGGTGATTTTCCCCATCTGGCCCTGTGGAACAAAGTCTGTTCGGGAGAACATTACCTGGACCTGGGTCTGTTTTGAGGGCCTCTAGGATCTGGTCTCTTATCTCCCAGTTAAGTCCCCCTACTACACAGTAAGGTGGTATGATGGTAGCGGGACCAGGCTTGTCATCCTGCGAGTTCTGGCGAGACAGGGTGTTGGGTTTTGTGTTCTTGGACCCTGGCCAATAAGAAATCATAAAGTGGAATCTGGAGAAAAACAGTGACCATTGATGATGTCTACGGTTTAGCCTTTTGGCTTCCTTGAGGTAGACCAGGTTTTAGTGGTCTGTCCAGATGATTAATGGAAGTTCAGAGCCCTCTAGCCAGTAACTCAATTCTTCGAGGGTTAACTTCACTGCTAGTAACTCTCAGTCACCTATCATACCTGCTTTCAGCTGGAGTCAGGCACCGTGAAAAGAAGTCACAGGGGTAAAGCTTATGGTCGGAAGGGGATGCCTGTGACAGAACAGCTCCAACCCCGGTATCAGAGGCATCCACTTCCAGGGTGAACTGTAGGCTGGTGTCTGGTCTGGTTAGTGCCAAAGCATCTGCAATTTTTTTCTTGAGGACCACGAATGCAGCTTCGGGTTCTGGGGACCAAGAGAATGGTTTAGACACAGAGGTGAGGCGGGTTAGATGAGCCACAGTCTGGCTGCAGTTACATATGAATCGTCAGTAAAAATTAGCAAAGCCCAAAAATTGCTGCAACTGTTTCCTGGTAGTAGGGGTGGGCCATTCTGTAACGGCCTGGACCTTTTCTGGGTCTGCCTTTAACCGACCACTCTCTATGACAAACCCCAGAAACTTTATCGTTGACACGTGGAATTCGCACTTCTCTGCCTGTACGTACAATCGATTCTCCAAGAGTCGTTGCAGCACCCCTCTGTCATGCCTCTGGTGGATGGTTTGCATCCTGGAAAATTTCAAAATGTCATCCAGATAGATAGTTACAAAGTCAATGATATAGTCACCAAGCACTGAGTGGACAAGGGCCTGGAAAACAGCGGGGTCATTGGTAAGTCTGAACAGCATGACCAGGTATTCGAAATGCCCGAGTGGTGTCTTGAATGCCATTTTCCATTCGTCACCCTGCCGGATCCTCACCAGGTGATAGGCTTTTTGGAGGTCCAGTCTGGAAAAGATGGTGGCATCCCGCATGGGCTCAAATATGGAGGAGCGCAGAGGTAAAGGGTGTTTGTTTTTAACGGTGATTTGGTTGAATCCTCTGTAGTCTATACATGGCCTAAGGGTACCATCCTTTTTCTGGGCAAAGACAAATCCCGCACCCAAGGGTGATGTGGAAGGCCTGATGGGGCCAGCAGCCAAGGACTCTGTAATATATTTCTGTCACGTTCTGCCCCTGCCCTCCTGACTGTGTTTCTCTCCTGCCCTGATTAGTCCGTATTGTTCTCACCTGTCCCTCGTTAACCTGCCCATGTTTCCCTAATTAGCCTCCTGTATTTATACCTCCTGTTTTGCTCCTGTCCTTTGTCAGATCATTGTTGCTTGTAGTCCTTGAGTTTTGTTCCTGTCGTTCCCAGTCCTCCATTAAAACCATTTTAATTTTACTGAAGCCTGCATTTTTTACCTCCTGGTCAGCTCTGCCACACATGGTCCGCCATCATCCACATCTACATCGTGACAATTTCTCCATGCTATCCCTCTCTGGTTTAGAGAGACTGTAGACGACTGGATTGAAGTGGAGCCCTGGGTAACAGGTCAATGCCACATTAGAATAGATGGTGTGGTGGCAGTGAGGAGGTGTTGTCTTTGCTGAATACCTGTTGGAGGTCGTGGTAAGCAGTAGGGAATCGAGTGAGTTCTAGGGGTTCTGGAGCAGTGGTGGTGATGTTCCAGGGTCTAGGAGGAGCGGATAGGAGGCACCTTTCAGAGCATTCGGGACTCCAGGCCTCTACTCGATTGGACCACCAGTCCAGATGTGGATTGTGGATGGAAAGCCACGAATGTCCCAAAACATTCAGGTTCTGTGGAGATGGGAACACAAGGAATGAATGTGTCTCAATGTGGTTACCTGAAACCTGGAGCTGGAGTGGAGCTGTCTGGTGGGTGATGGTGGATAGAGCTCTACCATAAAGTGAGGAGATGGTAAGTGGGGTAGAGATTGGGATGGTTGGAATCTCCCATTTTTGCACCAACTCTGGATCCATCAGAGACTGTTCACATCCAGAATCCAGGAGGGCGGAGAGTTGATGGTGTCGGCCTTTGAAATTAATTGAACAAGGGAGAGTACACCGAGAGGTAGTAGATTTTGAATGACTGCACACCAGCTTTCCTGAATCTACTGGTGGGCTCTGCCTTTTACCAGAGCCGGGCAGTTCTGTACATAGTGTCCCGGGTGTCCACAATACATGCAGAGACCTGACCTTAGTCGGTGCTGCCTCTCCTCCTGGGTGAGGTGGGACCTTCCCAGCTGCATAGGCTCTTCGGTAGAACCTGGCGACAAGGAAGCTCGAGGGGTAGCATGCCGGTGAGAGGTAGGAGATGGTGGTGTCTGGAGAGATGGCCGCTGCAGGTCACGATGCCCCTTATCAATAGAGATTGAGAACATTATCAACTCCTCCAAGGTTCGTGGTTCAGGACATAGAGCCAACTGGGTCCTTATTTTGTCACTCAAGGCTTCTGTGAAAGCTGCTTTCAGTGCATCGCCATTCCATGATGTAATCGCTGCCAGTGTTCGAAACTCCAAGGACATCTCCGCCACCGTTCTCCTTCCCTGAGAGAGGTGCCAAAGTCTTTTCCTGATATCAGACGAGGTCTCCGTGCTGCAAAAGGTTAGTTTAAATTCATCCAAAAACTCTGTATAAGGTCCTGTTTGGAATTCAGCACAGCGGCTCTTAGCTTCGGCCCATTTTAGAGCCTTGCCTCTCAAAAGCCCTACTATATATGAAATTTTGACTGAGTCAGAACAAAAAGCTTCAGGCGAACATTTAAAAGCCAACTGGCACTGGAGTAAGAAACCGTTTCCATCATCGAATTCACCAGAAAATGTGACCGAAGTTGGGGTAACAGTTAACTGGTCCGGGTGGTCCTGCGGTCGCCATGGCAATTGATGATGGTTCCGGGGAAGGAGCTGGAGGCTGTGGTGTTGGCCGCTTGTGTAACTGTTGGACCAGAGCCTCTAACTGCTGGTAGCGCCGGTTTGCGGCAGCTAATTTTTCCATGATCAGAGGAATGGTTTGTTCCTGCTGTGACATCCTGTGGGAGAGTTCAGAAAGTGCCGATTCTGCTGGGTTAGGATTATGGCCGGATGATTCTGTCATGTTCTGAGGAAGGTGCTTAACCAAAGACACGCATAATCAACACGAAAAGGTAAGTAGAAAGAAAAATGATTTATTTATGCAAAACGGGAACTAAAGGTGCACCGGGAAGTCTGGTGACAGCGGAGCGGGGCAGGAGGGAGTCTGAGGAGAAGAGAGGCAGGTGAGTCCTGGGTGGTGAAATAGCTTGGTGGGTTTGGATTGTTCGGGACTTACGGCAGCCAAGACCTGGTGAAAGTGGGGACAGGTAGTGAGCCGAAGTTCAGAGTCCTACTGGAGGGGTAGGAGAGCGGAGAGAGAGCAGTCGGTCAGAGGAGGAGGAAGAGACGTGGTCCAAGGTGATCCAGAGGGTTATGGTAATTGTAAAGCGATGTTGATGGTGTCTGAAGTGATGAGATGAAACAGTCAAAAACTACGCGAAAAATCCTGACAAAGAAATGATCAAAGACAAAACGAGAGTAATCCAAGAAACTAGAACTAGTGGCTGGTACTACCAAAACGGTAGCAATCATCCGGCGAAGTGTGGCGTCCTCATCCTCCTTTCCAACACATTCTCACACCCAAAGCGTCAAAATATGACACGTGTGACCAGGCCTCAATATATGACAATTCGGGACGCCCCAGAGCGTCAGGAGACGACGATCAGGGACACAGTGATGGCGCACCGTCCCAGAGCGTCGGTATCCGACGCCGGTGGGGAGACGGACATTAGAATGACTTGTGAACTACTTAACTTCCCCTCACCCCAATCCTAACTTCAAGGCCACAGTTACTGACCTTAAGGTTTGGACCAGCGGAGCCACGTGTCCCTGCGTGTCCCTGATCGTTGACTCCTGACGCGCTGGGGCATCCCAAATCGTCATATATTGATGCTTGGTCACACGCGTCATATTTTGACACGTTGGGTGTGAGAATGTGTTGTCCTTTTAAACCTGACCCGATGAGTGATGATTGGATACAGCTGGTGCCTCTCCGTCTCTCCCACCTGAAAGAAGGCTCAAAGATAGTCTATGGACAGATGGCTCACCTCAGCTCATGACACATACAGCCTGGCGCCCTCTGCTATTATGGGCGTGTAATGACCCCAGACAAATGTGAAAGCTTAGACCCCGACTATAAGACAACCTCACATTTAAAATTATTTTCATTGAATAAAACCTCGTTCTATATTCGGGTCAATACGGTATATAAATACAAGTGTGTGTGTGTGTGTGTGTGTGTGTGTGTCTGTGTGTGTGTGTGTGTGTGTGTGTGTGTGTGTGTGTGTGTACCTGTCTCTCCCCACAAACTGTCATAAATGTTAATCTGAGGTCTCTGTTCCTCTTCCTCATCTTCCTCAGGAAGATCCAATAAGTATGACACCATCTATAAAATTACACACATTGATCACACACATACCATAAAAACCAGGCATCGGGTGTAGTGTGTGTGTGTGTGTGTGTGTGTGTGAACTGGTTGACCTCTGTGTGACCCCTGCTGGCTGCTGCAGTCAGAGCCTGCTGCACCGCCTGGCTCTTGCTCGCCCCCCTCTGGCTGCAGCAGGTGGTGCAGCTCCATTCACAGCTCCTCAGCAGGAAACGCAGCACATCCAGGTGACCTTGCTGTGCTGATAGAACAAGAACAGACCGGCCTGAACTGTCCACATGACCCACCTAAAATCACAGACACAGACTTAGGAGCCATGTCTCTCCTGGGTCCAAGGTCTAACACTGATCCAAAGGGGATCAGACACCTGGAGGACTGAGAATGAGTTTATTCTAAAGTATTTCAGCAGTGATATAATAATGAATCCAGCTAAACTCTTTAATGTTGCTAGTTTTTTTTAGTTTGTTCTTCAGACAAAACGAAATAAATCACCTTGGCTTGGTGCTTACTCAGCAGGATGACAATTTTCAAATGACCAGCTGCAGCAGCCAGTCCCAGAGCAGTCAACCCATCATTTGTCTGAGCATCTACCTGAAAAGGTACCACAAGAGTTTCAGGTTCCATTTCTAGTCTCCGTTATTATCCCATGGTTCAATCTGCCTCACCTTGGCCCCGTGGTCCAGCAGCAGTGCCACAGCATCAGTGTGTCCCAGGTGAGCGTGGACACACAGCAAGGGGGCGCTGTTTAAGACATCTGTACGATAATCCAGATCAGCTCCACCTGCAATCAGCAACCTGCTTACCTGAACAGGTAGAGAGCAAAGTCTTAGCCTTACAACGTGTGTGTGTGTGTGTGTGTGTGTGTGTGTGTGTGTGTGTGTGTGTGTGTGTGTGTGTGTGTGTGTGTGTGTGTGTGTGTGTGTGTGTGTGTGTGTGAGTGTTACCTTGATGTTTGGGGTGTATAGGTTGTGCAGGGATGCGAGAACAGGACTGAGGTTGGCTGTGCTGTAGGACAACCACAGTCCCTGAAGAACAGAGGAGGAGACCCCGAGCTTCTTACTCAGACCCTGGAGAATGAAGGCAGACCCAGAGACCTTATTGTTCATCGGCTTACCTAAAAACTAGGGATGTACGATATTGGCTTTTTTACCCATATTCAATATATTGTGTGACTCTTAATTTCTAATACTGATATAAACCACTAGCCCACTGACCAGGTCAGTGGGCTAGTGGTAGCGTGTCCGCCATGGGACTGGGAGATTGGAGTACAAATCCCGGTTAGGTCATACCAAAGACTTTCTAAAAATGGGACCCATTGCCTCTCTGCTTGACACACGCACACACACACACACACACACACACACACACACACACACACACACACACACACACACACACACACACACACACACACAATCTAAAAGATGATCCCATATTTCAACAATAGATCCTTCTAGAACCGGCTGAACTTCAATGGCATCCTGGATCAGAACAAACAACGAGCCGAGGTAGCGAGTTACTCCGAGAAGATTTGTTCTGGTGAACTGTTGGTTAAATATCATCCAGAGTTATATCAGGATGCATGCAGTGGTAAAACTGGCAGCACATTAATTTCTTTATCTGTAGATTACTGAATTATATTGAAAGAGATGATGGAGCTGAAACCTGTAGTCAGCTGAGAGCTCCCGGTGGAAGCACAGAAATGAAATGTTAAACAAAAGTAAACAAGCTGAACTGATTTTGGTTCTGAAGATGAACAGAATCCTCCCCGGTGTTGGGTCGCGGGTTTTCTGAGTCAAACGGTCTAAAACATGTCTGCACCTCCGGTAGTGATATCCAGCTAGCGGGGTCGGAGTTCGGTTGCACTTCTCCGGTAATCCAATATCTTTTCTCGTCGTTGTATCCCAGAGAAAAACAAATGTGACCGACTAGCAGAGGCTTCAGAAGCTCCATCTGACTGATGACACATTGTTCTGCTGTAACGCTAACGCAGAAACACCGGAGTCGGGGGTTGTTTACTAGCAGCAGAGCTCCTTGTGAAACGCCACAGCTGCTCAGGGCTTAGACCGGAGACTACTTTCTGTTTTTCCCGTGCCGGTCACAAATTTCAGATTTTCTTTAAATTCCAGCCGTGAAAATGCAAAAACCATTTCATCTGAGGTTTTAGTATTAAACATGCCAAAGGGATTTTGCCTCTGGCGAATACCTTTAATCTTTTTTAATCATAAGCGATACCGACATTTGCTGTATCCCTTTCTCATAAAGATTAAAACATTTGAGGTTGCTAACATCACATATCTTCTATCACGCTTACGTTTTAAACATTTTCTATGATTTCCGTCCAAGTCAGTAACAGGAACAGTACCATGTTTATTTAGCCTCCAACAGCAGCTGACTCTCATTCTCCCAAAGCGTGGAGCTAAGATGTGAGTATTAGTTAGTCATTTATTTGTTCTTTTCTGTATTTTGCAGTTATGATGATAAAACATGTATTAAGATCTTCAGGTAAGAAAAACAAGCCTTAGGTAAAGATTCTTGTTCTGGTTTTAGTCGTTTTTAAACTGCTAGCTACACGTAGCTTCGTGTCGTGAGGACAGCGTACGTTCACTACACAGGGCTAATTTCTGCTTCACAAGTTGTGCCAAATAAACTAAAATGTCTCAGACTTTTCCTCAGATCTGGTGTATTTTTACTTTTTGAGAGAAAAGGGTCATAGCTGAAGAGTTTGATGTGTGACAATTGTATAGTATGTAAAAGTAAGCAAAACTACAGTTGAGACTTCCCACCCTTGTTGGAGACCTTGGAAGAGGTGCTGGAAAGCGCTCCTTCCGGTGACACTCTAATTCTGCTGGGGGACTTTAACGCTCACATGGGCAATGACAGTGAGACCTGGAGAGGTGTGGTTGGGAGGAACGGCCCTCCTGATCTGAACCTGAGTGGTGTTTTGTTATTGGACTTCTGTGCCAGTCATGGATTGTCCATAATGAACATCATGTTCAGACATAAAGGTGTCCATATGTGCTCTTGGCACCAGGATACCTTAGGCCGCAGCTCGATGGTTGATTTTGTTGTTGTTTCATCTGACCTGTGGCCGCATGTCTTGGACACTCGGGTGAAGAGAGGGGCCGAGCTGTCAACTGACCACTACCTGGTGGTGAGTTGGCTCAGATGGTGGGGGAGGATGCCGGTCAGACCAGGCAGGACCAAACGTATCGCGAGGGTCTGCTGGGAACGTCTGGCAGAGTCTCCTGTCAGAAGGAGCTTCAATTCCCACCTCCGACAGAACTTCCAAAATGTTCCGGGGGAGGCGGGGGACACTGAGTCTGAATGGACCCTGTTCCATGCCTCCATTGTTGAGGCGGCCGACCGGAGCTGTGGTCGCAGGATCATCGGTGCCTGTCGTGGTGGCAACCCCCGAACCCGCTGGTGGACACCGGCGGTTAGGGATGCTGTCAAGCTGAAGAAAGAGTCCTATCAGGTCTTTTTGGCCAGTGGAACTCCAGAGGCAGCTGACGGGTACCGGCAGTCCAAGCGGAACGCGGCTCGGGTGGTCGACAAGGCAAAAACCCGGGCATGGGAGGAGTTCGAAGAGACCATGGAGCAAGATTTCCGTACGGCTTTGAGGAAATTCTGGTCCACCATCCGGCGCCTCAGGGGGGGGGAAAGCAGTGCGCTACCAACACTATCTATAGTGGGGACGGTGTGCTGCTGACCTCTACTCAGGACGTTGTGGATCGGTGGGCGGAATACTTCGAAGACCTCCTCAATCCCACCGACACGTCTTCCAGTGAGGAAGCAGAGTCTGGGGACTTTGGGTTGGGCTCTCATATCTCTGTTGGTGAGGTCACTGAGGTGGTTAAAAAGCTCCTGTGGCAAGGCTCCAGGGGTGGATGAGATCCGCCCGGAGATCCTTAAGGCTCTGGATGTTGTGGGGCTGTGTTGGCTGACGCGGCTCTGCAATATCGCGTGAAGTTCGGGGGGAGTTCCACTGGACTGGCAGACCAGGGTGGTGGTCCCCTTATTTAAAAAGGGGGACCGCAGGGTGTGTTCCAACTACAGGGGGATCACACTCCTGAGCCTTCCTGATAAGGTCCATTCAGGGGTTCTAGAGAGGATGGTCCATCAGATTGTTGAACCTCAGATTCAGGAAGAGCAATGTGGTTTTGGTCCTGGCCGTGGAACACTGGACCAGCTCTATACCCTTAGGGGGATCCTGGAGGGTGCGTGGGAATTTGCCCAACCAGTCTACATGTGTTTTGTGGATTTGGAGAAGGCGTTTGACCGCGTCCCTCGGGAGGCCCTGTGGGGGTTACTCCGAGAGAATGGGGTAGCAGGCCCTCTGATACGGGCTGTTAGGTCCCTGTATGACCAGTGTCAGAGCTTGGTCCGCATTGCCGGCAGTAAGTCGGGCTCGTTTCCAGTGAGAGTTGGACTCCGCCAAGGCTGCCCTTTGTCACCGATTCTGTTCATAACCTTTATGGACAGGATTTCTAGGAGCAGCCAAGGTGTGGAGGGCATCCGTTTTGGTGGCCTGAGGATCAGGTCTCTGCTTTTTGCAGATTATGTGGTCCTGTTGGCTTCATCAGAACGTGATCTTCAGCTTTCGCTGGAGCGGTTCGCAGCCGAGTGTGAAGCAGCTGGGATGAGAATCGGCTCCTCTAAATCTGAGACCATGGTCTTGATTCGGAAAAGGGTAGAATGCCTTCTCCGGGTCAGGGATGAGGTCTCGCCCCCAAGTGGAGGAGTTTAAGTATCTCGGGGTCTTGTTCACGAGTGAGGGAAAACTTGAGCATGAGATCGATAGGCAGATTAGTGCTGCATCTGCAGTGATGCAGGGGTTGTACCGGTCTGTCGTGGTGAAGAGAGAGCTGAGTCAGAAGGCAAAGCTCTCGATTTACCGGTCGATCTACGTTCCTACCCTCACCTATGGTCACGAGCTTTGGGTAGTGACCGAAAGAACGAGATCGCAGATACAAGCGGCCAAAATGAGTTTTCTCCGCAGGGTGGCTGGGCTCTCCCTTAGAGATAGGGTGAGAAGCTCGGTCATCTGGGAGGGGCTCGGAGTAGACCCGCTGCTCCTCCACGTCGAGAGGACCCAGTTGAGGTGGCTCGGGCATTTGGTCAGGATGCCTCCTGGACGCCTCCCTGGTGAGGTTTTCCGGGCACGTCCAACCGGGAGGAGACCTAAAGGTAGACCCAGGACACGGTGGAGGGACTATGTCTCTCACCTGGCCAGGGAACGCCTTGGGATTCCCCCGGTGGAGGTGGTCCAAGTGGCTAAGGAGAGGGAAGTCTGGGCCTCTCGTCTTAAGCTACTGCCCCCGCGACCCAACTCCGGATGAAAATGGAATGGAAATGGTAAAAGTTGTGTCAATACAGGAGTAAAAACGATACAATTTTAAGGCCAATATGGGTAGATTTTAATGGTAGTAATATCTCAATTAAAGGAGTCATCACCTGACATTTTGAATGTATATATGTACATAATATATGTATATAATGGCTTCCTAATGATTTTTCACTGGCCGGGAAGCCAATATTTAACATTGAATAGTTTTTTTTTTTACTTTTGGCTTCTCCAACCAGCCAACATGCTGATTTCAGGCCTTGATGTCGTCACAAAGGCAAGATGTACAGTACCATATACGGACATCGCAGAGCAACGCCACTATAGCCCGCACTACTTCGCTTCCACTCACATTCAGTCGAGCTCCACCATTACTGAAATCGGGAGAACGGAAAATGTTAAAGTGAGTTTCACATGTGAGCTGCTCAGTTGTTGATTGCCAAACTCCACACATAAATGAGTTTGTTTTACCTAAAGTGGACCAGCACATCGGTCCAACAGCAAGGCTGTGAAAGACGTGGTGTTCACGGCCAGAAAAGACGTCGTTTCAACTTTCATTTTAGAACTAGCCGTCTTTAAAAATATAGTCATATTTTAAAATATCAAACTTTTCTCGGACTGACGTTGTTTCAGCTGTCATCAAGTGTCAAAATATTTCAATTAACAATAGGTGTCAAAGAGATTGCTCAACTAGCAAGACACCCGACGTACAAGGAGAGGACTCGGGTTTGAATGCAAGCTCGCAATTAGAGGGTTTTTTTACGGTAATGATATATTTTATACAATAATACGGTAATATTACACCCACATTTTTAATAGTAAACGTCCAAATGAGACGCACCAAAAGACGTTTTATTGACGTCCACATAAGACATCGGTTCAGCTTTCATTTCGGAACTATTTTTCAACCATGGCGTCATTTGCAATGGTTAGATGTCGAAGGAAGGTCCCGCCTTTCTCGTCTCTGATTATTATGGCCTAAGTTCACATTTTGTATACAAAACTCCTGTTGGTGGCAGCAGGACAGTCTGCACTTAGCGAGGGAAAATGCTTTGCTGCTTAATGAAATAGGCAATCGTAGTAAAGCCCTTCTAGCCAATCGACATCCTACAAATCCAAATGACGCATCTGGCACAGCCAAAATATCACAAGTGCACTCACGAGAAAAAATGTCCTTTACAAAAAAGATTCAGAAAAGCACTTTTTATTTTTTCTTTCCAATAACAAATTATTTCTGAAATATGATATAGATATCCATGGTAGTAACAGGTGATGACTCCTTTAACTAACAGGTGATGACTCCTTTAACAACCAATGAAAATGTGGTCAGTGCCACATTTAAAATCTATGAGTTTGTTTCACTTCTTTAATTTAAAAAAATCCTCTGATTAAGTTTCCTGATTGGAATCATGAAGAAGATTAATCTGAAGATCCAAAATCTACCTGGAGTGGGTGCTGGGCGTAAGAACAAAACGAGACAGATCTATCACTCAAACCTAATGTCAGTGTAGCCCTGATGTTGTCTCAGGATATCCTTTCCTTTCATAGCTTTAGGGTTTAAGGGCAGCAGAGACAAACCTTGTAGATGTGAGCTTTAAGGATGTGGTGTCCCAGCTCCAGCGTCTGCTGATGGTTCAGCTTCCCATCCTGTCGGGAGAGCCAGAAGGCCAGCAGAGTGTGTCCACTCCTGGAGACGGAGACAAACCAGAAAGCTCACATCAAAGCAACACAAACATGTGGATTACCTTTCTCAACTAACGAGTCAGGAAAAAGAAATGGAAGCTTTCTGGCTGGCTCATGTCTTTAGAGGAGCAGCACCTCTGCTGGTGACCCAGCTCAACAGCCACTACATTAGACTTTTAAAAATAAAAGCATTTAATTTCTGTCCAGGTGACTTTAAGGTAAGTATCACTAAATAGACAATTATGAATTAAAAAAGGACAAAAATGATTCAAACACGAACTAAACTATGAAACTTTATCCATCCACGTTTGTTTGGTTTTGGCTTGCAGCTTTTGTGAGCCTACCTGAGGTCACAGAGGAACCGGTCGTCCTGGCCTTCCTCCCGCCACACCAACCACTCCCTGAAGGACGGGTGGTTCAGCATCCTGTTGCCATCATGCCGCTGTAGCAGGAAGCAAGACAGCTGCTGCAAGCGCTGCACAAACTCTCCCCAGTGAATAGTTCCTCCGCTTACAGAACCAGCATTCACCGCCTCAAACAGCTGAACAATCAGAGAGCACAGAGGTTTTTCTGCAGCTGCTAAGGAAACTTCAACATTTTGAGCTGACTGGGTCATAGAGCAGGTCTGTACCTGCTGGTCGCTCAGTGGGTTTAGAGAAGCCACTGTAACATTGAGTAGAGGCAGAACTCTCTGAAATGATGATTGGGTGGGAAACCGCATGTTGAGCTGCAGCAGGTAAACCTCTGCTAAGCTAACAGGAACCACCTAGAAACACAACACAGCATGCATCTTGTTGGTTTGATCTTTGACCATCAAGCTCCACCTCACATCTCCCTCACCTTGAAGTTAGAGCTTTTTAGGACAAGGTAACCTCCTTCTATTAGGTCAAGGATCAGTTTCAGGTACAAGTATGAGCCTCTGCTCAGGGTCTTCAGGTGGCAGATCAGTTTGGTTAAGGCCGTGTTGTCAAGGCGACCATTGCTCTGGGACACATTGTTCTGGATCTCAGCGCTGCTGTGGATACGCTGCATCAGATAACCCTGTAGAGAACACAAACGTGTTCAGCACAGACGCACAGAGAAGCAGGCGGGTGGAAAGACTAGCTACTGACTTTCTACTGTTACCTGCAGGTCGTGGTCTATGGCGGGATTCTCCTCCACCCTGTCCAGAGAGATGTGGTGAAATGGAAGTGAACCACTGATGTCCTGGAGAAAGAAATCACAATGAGTCGTTAGTGAAAAAACTGTGAAGCTACGTTTGTTTCCAGAACTTAAACGCAGGGATCTGAACGGGCCACGGCGTCTGTCCCTATCTGAACGTTGATACGTTTTTCAGGTCTGACAAAAGCCACAGATCATTGTCATTTTGCTGAGAAAAGCCACAGACTGAACAGCATATGCTACGATAGCCTCCATTGTTGTGGTTTGTTGTGGATTTGTGTTGCAAACAGATGACCTTGCACTACTTCTTATATTCTGGACTCCATCCACCACTAGAGCCCTAGGTTTCCATCTCTCCAGCCACTTGGGCCAGCTCCTCAGTAGAAATCATAAGGTGTTCCCAGGTCATCTGGGTTCTTCCAGCATGCCCTGTCTTTCCCTGGGTCTCCTCCTTATTGAGCACGCCCAGAACACCTTAACAGGGTGGTGTCCAGGATGCCAGAGCCACCTCAACTGGCTGGATCAAATCTGAATTCCCTGTGAACGGTGCACTAATCTGTCTGTTCATCTTGTGCTCCGTTTTTACATCATTCATGACCAAAGCCTAGAGATAATTAAACTCCCTAACCTGCAGCAGGATCTCATCCTCAACCTGAACAAGGCATTCTACCATTTTCTGACTCAAGACCACAGTCTTTGATTTGGAGGTGCTCATTTTCACCTCGGCCACTTCACACTTAGCCGTGAACCACTCCAGCAAAGTTGGATCTTATGGTCTGATAACGCCATTAGGACCACATCATCCACCAGAGTCAGACAGCTGATCCTCTGACCACTAAAAATATCCCTTCATCAACTTGGCTGTGCCTAAAAGTAATGTCCATAAGGTTATGAACAGAATCGGTGACGAAGGGCAATCTTGGCCAGTAATGCAGATCAATCAATGAAATCTTATTTATAACAGCTCTTTACAACAACCAAGGATTGCACGGAAACAGAAAGCTAAAAGCAGCAAATGAAGTTATCGCCACTGTAGCAACGTAACACTCAACAGTTAAAGCCAAAACGAAAGAGTGGTGTTTCAGTTTGGCCTTAAACAGAGAAAGAGATCATTGATGGAGTGCATTTCAAGTGACAGACCATTCCAGCGCGTTGGTTCCACCACTGCCAAAGCTTGATTCCCCCACTGGTTGAACCTTGATGATGCGACCACCAGTAGATGCTGATCCGAGGATCGTAAAGCTGTTTGGTTCTGGTACTAATTGTACAAGGACGTAAAGTTGCATTCACAGCTGTGTCGACCTGGTCCAGTTCTGATTCGATCAGCTCGCCCCTGTGCAGCCAGGTTTTATTCACACTGCCATGAGGAATACAGTAGATTACCTTCTCAAAGTCCACAATCTGCAGGTTTGGGGATCTCCCATGCACCCTGTAGGACCCTGCAAAGTTTGCAGAGGCAGTGGCTGTTTCTCAATAGCCACGTGTACAAGCACCAAATTTCCCCAATCCGATTCAAATCTGGGCTGATCGGAAAACCCGAATCTCTGTTTACATGGACACTAACTGAAATGATCCGATCATATGGGATTAGATTTGTGTCAATAGTTTCAAGAAAAACCCTTAGAAGATCAAACAAAAATTAAGAATGTGAGAAAAATACATATTTGCATTAAAAACTCGTTTCAAGAGTTAAACTTACTATCTGAATCAACTTATTAAAATGAGTAATGAAAGTCTTTGTATTTTTTTATGTTTGACTCAATGTATTTTTGGTTTCATTTTCCGTTGTTTCATTCTCACTGTTCAGAGCTTTGCTCTCGCTACCAGCTTTGCAGTTTCACTTTCTGGCTTTCTCCTTTGCGCTGCCTGAGGTTATGATTGCAATTCTGACACAACCCTCTCGGGTGGGTGGGACTTCTGAGAAGTCCTCTCCCATAGAACAGTGGTTTCTCTTGAGTGACAGTTCAGTGACCCAGAAGTGATGTAGCCTCCAAGACTTTTTCCCCACCTCGGTCAACAACAGCATACATGTGGTAAAAATAAATGGTCCAAGCACCGAACCCAGTGGTACTCCACAAGTAACCCTGGAGTATGAAGGAGATTTGTCATGTACATTTACAAAATGAAACCTATCAGACAGGTAGGATTTAAACCAGCCTAACGCTGTTCCTTTGATCCCTACAACATGTTCAAGTCTTTCTAAAAGAATATTGTGATCAACTGTGTCAAAAGCAGCACTGACATCTAACAAGACTAGAACAGACACAAGATTCTTATCTGAGGCCATGAGAATATAATTTGTAACTCTCACTAACGCAGTTTCAGTGCTGTGATACTCTCTAAAACCAGACTGAAATTCCTCAAACAGATCATTAATGTTTAAATGCTCACATACTTGGATGGCCACTATTTTCTCCAGCACTTTGGATAAAAATGGAAGGTTAGATATTGGTCTATAACTCATTGGGTCACCTGGATCCAAAGAAGGCTTCTTAAGTGAAGGTTTGATTACAGCAACCTTAAAATCCTGTGGTACATATCCATTTACTAAGGATAGATTGATTATATCTAGAATGGGGGCAGTAACCAAAGGAAATGCTTCTTTAAATACTTTGGTTGGGATTGGATCTAAAATGCAAGTTGAAGGTTTAGATGAAGCTAATATTTTTGATAACTTTGAAAGCTCAACTGGATCAAAACTCAAAAGCAGATGAGGTTCTACAGTTACCACTGATGCTGCCTCACTTACTAGTCGTTTTTACAAAACAAGGTTTCAATTTGCTGCAAGGCTGTGGCGACATCAGGGACACTTTGGTCATTTATAAGTGGTCAGACCGTGGCAGTAATGTGGTGCAATCATGTCCTTTTTATAAAAGATTAGGCGATGGTGGCATCAAGAGGGTATGGGGGCGGTCTTTGCACTGTCGCGAACTTCTGTTTATCTTGGACATAATTTGCTTTTTATTGCGATTGAATCCATGATTGTTGAGTTTTTTTAACATGCTGCTCCTAAAGGTGTCTGTCCCCACAGTCCCCTTGCAGTCTCTGAAGATCTGAGCTTCAACTCTAACAGAGAGAAGCTCACGGAGCGCTGCAGCGCTCAAGTTTGCTGTCTAAGCTGATTTTGTTCAAAAAGCAAAACCTGTTGCCCATGTTTACTTCCATTTTAAGTGGAGTTGCTGGCCTTACCTCGGGATTAACTCCCCACGTCATCATGACACCTCCCTCTGTTGCACCATGGTGCAATAGCTGTTCATAAGACAGACAATTACTGCAATATTGCTACTAAGCGAGGCAGAACAAATGCCACAAAATTCAGGCAACGCCATGCTGGCATGGCGCATTTATAAGGCATACCATTGCGGTAACATTTTGCCGATTTGCCGGCATGGTGTGTCTTGTGAAAAGGGCTACTGAAGAAGAAGCTGCATTAGGGAGGATGCTAATGATTTTGTTTCTAATAGAATTAACTGTCCACATTAAGAATCCCATAAAATCGTTGCTGCTGAGGGCTAAGGGAATAGATGGTTCAGAGCTAAGAAATTTAGGATTATTCTTATTCTCCTCAATTAGCAATGAAAAACATGCAGTTCTAGCTTGTCAAAGCTTATTTTTATAAAGTACAAGAGTATTTTTGCAGGATAAGTAGGACTCCTTCTGGTGTGTAGAGCACCATGTTCTCTCCAATTTTTTAGACTTTTGTTTTAAAGTTCGTAGATCAGAATTAAACCAGAGAGCCAACTTTCTGGGCTTAATCCATCCATCCATTTTCCATAACCGCTTTTCCATGCAGCTCCAGCTGTCTCCAGGCATACAGGTGGGGTACACCCTGGACCGGTTGCCAGTCCATCACAGGGCAACACTGAGACAAATAGGACAAACAACCAAGCACACACACTCACACCTATGGACAGTTTAGAAAGATCAATTAACCTGAAAGTCATATTTTTGAACGGTGGGAGGAAGCTGGAGTACCCGAAGAGAACCCACGCATGCATAGGGAGAACATGCAAACTCCTTGCAGAGAGACTCCAGGCAAGGATGTGTACCCAGGACCTCCTTGCTGCAAGGTAACAGCGCAAACCCCTGCACCACTTCCTTTTTTAAAGGTGCAACACCTTCTAATAAAAAAGTAACATTACAAACAAGACCATCAATTTGTGAAGGGTGTAACGTCCAGCATTGGTCAGTTTTTAGGTACAGTTTGACCTTCCAACATCTGGTCAAAAAGGAGACACGAGACTGCAAGTGTTCCCTTTAATTTGGCCTGCCTTCATCCCATCAGCTGGAGCTCAGAGCCTCTCTGCAGCTCTGAACACATGATAAGGAATTGTCAACAATGATGTTCTCTCCTCAAGGTCCAAGCTTCCCATATCGTCCTGCAGGATTCTTCATGCCTCTGAATAAGGAACACTCGCAGCTCGGATTAGTTGTTAAATCAAAGAATGATTTCTTAAATCAAATATGAACTTTTAAAACTTATAAGTTAGATAATCATTAAATAAACGTTTGTTTATGGCTACTTATAATAATTATAAAATAATGAAATGTTTCATTAATCTGTGCTCAATGATTGAAGTTTGAAATGAATGTAAAGTTATGATTACAGTGAAAGGTTTATATATGGATCAGTAATGTTGATATGACAAGGTCATCACCATTTGTACTCACACAAGGACAAAGTAAAGTTAAGTTAAACTCATGACACATAGATAGTCCTTTACCCCAGATCAGAGCATTGGTATCAAGGAAGGCGTGTTTCTGAGACTCTTGGTAATATTCCTCAACTTGCCAACCTCTGGTTGGCTACACAAATCTTAACATGAGAACATTAAATCTGGATCACTCTGGTGATTCATCAGTTCAGTTCAGCTCAGCGGTTCAGTTCGAGAGAAAGCTTCAGACCGGCCATCTGAAGCAAAACCTCTTTAACCATCAAAGCTTTTGACACGTGGTCAAAACCTTTTTGCACCTGCGAAGCTGACACAGTAAACGGTTCCTGCAGAACAAGCTGATATTTTTTAGACTCCTTAAGAGTCCCAGACGCACGGTTCCATCCATCTGTCATGACCCGAGTCATCTCTGGACTGAAGAGTCGGTGCCATGGTATTCTACAGCCCTTCTGTGCCAGAGGTCAGCCGACCTATCTGACCTTCAGATCCACCAAGAGGGTCTCAGAGAACGGGTGAGGTAGACACACAGATAGCATCTGATGCCTTTTGATAATAATCAACTTCATAGCTTAACGCAAACCAAATTCTTTTACACCCAGAACTCAGCTCTCCTAGATACGGAAGTTCTGACTAACACCACATTCACACATAGGTTCATCCATCACAGTAAAGGTTAGTTAACTAGTCATGTTTTAATTGTTGGTAAAATAAATTCTTACTTTTATAAACCTGACTCTTTTCTGAATCAAACGAAGTGTGTACAATCCCCTAATAAATACAGAATCCTAGAATCTTCTGATTAAACACAATAAAGGCCAAGCAGGGTTGATATTCTATATTTAAGAGTATCACAGCTTATTGGTCATAAGTAGAGGTAATATATATATTGAGCTCTTAAAGCAATTTCCTTAACCCTAGAAGGGCGAGAAATGAAAAAAATTGTCCTCTGCTACGTTCCTCTGAGATGCTGAGGACAGTAAAGATGGAACATTTGATTTAAAAGATGCAACAGGGTTGTCAGATGGAGAAGGACCACAGAGAAATTTACTTTCATGTCTCGAGAACTCAGTTATAATGAAGTCAAAGGTTATCAAAATGCTTTTCTATCACACTAAAATGTTTGCTTGTCAGCTTGTCGGCAACCTCATACAAGTTTTACTGTTCAGTTAGATTTGTTCCGACCGGTGCAGTTTTATCAAACATCAGAAAGGAAAAACAAAAGTGATCAAATCTTTTTGATGAAAATGTATTACTTTGTTCGTAATGTACTGTATTGTTTTATTTTGTTACTGAAATATGACCAATCTGAGCTGGAAAATTAAATATCTTTATTTTAGGAATCAGTTAGCCTGGCCTGCCAGACTTGTCCTCTGTTTAATTCTGCACAGAACGAGTCTGGTAACTCACAGGCAGAGAGGCACATGAGGGGCGGGACTAGCTAGCTCAAAAATAACCAATCAGAAAAAAGACAGAAATGCAGACTGTACCGCGCGACGTTGTAGTTTCTTAGCTGTAGTTAAAAATGGCGTCTGGCAACGATGCAAACATCTTTAATTGTTTTAGAAGAAATGCTTTTAGCGCTTCTACTTGTTGGGTTTTAAAGACAATCAAGTCGTTTAGACCAGAGGAAAGAGCCGCAGCGAACTCCGCTTCAGTCGCCATGTTCGACAAAGTCGGCGTTATGGTGTGTGACGTACGCTACTCAGCTCTGATTGGCTCGGTTAGAAGCCTCAGGGGGCGGGGTTATTTGAACAGGAGAGTTCCCAGACCCTTTCTCTGTGTAGAATTAAACAGAGGAGGAGTCTGGCAGGCCAGGCGAGGAATCAGCTCCACTGGAGAGCTTGGTCTGGGCAAATCCGTCCTGCTCAGCTGAATCTGCACCAGAGTCAACAGGCAGCAGCTCAACTTGAGTTGAAATAAATGTTGCTATAGATTTAAACATTTCATTAGTGACTACTGCTGTTACAATCTGACCACTTTTTCCAAGCAAAATAAAAATAAAGGCTTATCCAACTATTGCAACCCTGAAGTAAAACATTACACCTAACGGTTTCTCATCTTGTGCAGCGTGCGTGCGTGCATGTGTGCATGTGTGCAGGAGGATCCACAAGTCTGCAAATGTGGCTTAAATTCACCATTCTACCATCTGACTGGCTGCATTGCCAGTCTCCCTAATTGTGCTTACATCTGGTCCAGAGTTGGTGCAAAGTTGCCACAATTTCCCATCAGGTTTTTCTTTACGAATCACAGTTTGAGTGGAAATGCAGATTTTCAGACATGGTTTTATGCGTAAGCAAGATTAATTTGTTACACCCTGGCTGAGACAGGAAGCAGCTCAATGCAAACAAAAAGGGCATTTCTGATCATTCTGTGGTGTTAAGTGTTAAGTTAAAAGTTTTGTTATGTTTTGTGTTTGCAAGTGTGCATACCTGATGACTGGTCCTGACAGTGCAAATAACTTTCAACCAGGAAGGAAATCTCTGGATATTGCGGGACAGGAAGGAGGTGACTGTATCTCCATAGTCCGGCCTGTGAAACTCTGCCTCGTTTAGCCCATCAATCACAATAATAAGCCCCGCCCCGTCCAAATAAAACTTTCTCTCTGAAAAAAATAAAGAAAGAAAGAAAGCCGTTTGCCTTTACACACTTTGGACCCACAAGTTTCAGAACCAGCATCCTACAGTGGGATCTTTCCGTACCTTTATGGAGAGATTCCAACGGTTCCAGTATTCCCCTCTGTAGAGCTGAACTTGGATTCTGGATGCAGGAACGGAGGCTGAGCATGCTCTGTAGGGGTGGTGATTGACACAGCAGCTCTCGATAGGCTGCCAGCTGAGGAGCACTGCTCAACAAGGCGGCCATGTTGTGGACAAACTCAGGAACCAGACAGGTGTTACAGTTATCAGCCTGACAGAAATGGTATGAGACCACCTGTAGAGCACAGGAGCCTTGATCAGTTGGTCACCTGCAGAAATGTTTGATGATCTTGATGATCAAAATCAGTAGGATGTGTGTCACTTGTGTACATTTCCACTTCCTTCCTCTATCTATCCTTCCCTTTCCACAAATCTTTCCTTATTTTCTCACCACCTCTCATTCCCTTCTTTTCCTTCCTTCTTTTTCTGTCATTTTCTCTCTTTTCCCTGTCCCTAACTTTCTGCCCCACTCTTTCCTCTCTAGTCGCAGAGACATTTAGGAATAATGTATGAAATGTGAAGACTCAGTTAGTCAACATGAGGAGCACGTTGGAGTGACCTGAAGATATCTACACCTGACAAAGGAGGGAGGTGTGGGGGTACCTGACCAGCCAGCCTCTGCAGCGCCTCCTCCCATCCTTTCCGCATCTCTGGAGTTCCTGGAAATCTTCTTTCTCCCTCATCTCCTTCTCTTCTTCCCAGAGAATTATGAGAGAAATGGGCAGGCTGTCCATCTGAAAAATTCGTCACATATTTAGAATCTCTATTTTTCTCATGAACTTGACTGACGTTAAAGAAAATTCACTAAGAGTTAATGAGCAAATTGCAGGTTTCATTTTTTTATTTCATGTAAAATGCTGTCCAAAAAGACTGTTTGGAGCGATTATTGTCTGTATTTTATACATAGCGGCCCCTTATCTTGAGTAAAAAGTGGACTTTTTTAGCTACGCTTCTAAAAAGGCTGTTTTAATCTTAACCTCTGACGTAACGACAGGGGTTTATAAGCTAGTCCTGCCTCAAGCTCAGTGTGGCGAGTAGGTCGTTTTGGGTAGAGAGGTTGTGTTATCGAGTCAGTGTGTGTTCAATAGTTTTGGATTGCATTTGTTTTTCTTAAAAATGGTAAACTATCTCCGCAGGGTGGCTGGCCTCTTCCTTAGAGATAGGGAGAGATGCTCGGTCACCCGGGAGGGGCTTGGAGTAGACCTGCTGCTCCTCCACATGGCTGTATGGTGGCGCAGTGGTTAGCACTGTTGCCTCACAGCAAGAAGGTTGCAGGTCTGAAACTTGGCTGTGGCCTTTCTTCGTGGAGTTGCATGTTCTCCTCTTCCATGCGTGGGTTTCCTCCGGGTACTCCGGTTTCCCCCACAGATCACAACATGCCCTATAGGTTACCAATTGTACATCGCTTTGGATATAAGCATCTGCCAAATAGGGTTGTCATGGTAACCGGTGTAGCAGTAAACCCTGGTAAAAAGGTAGACGATAATAATACCGTCTTGTTTTTAAAAAACTATATTATCTCGGTGGATTACCGTCGCTGTGGTGTAGGCGCGGGGACCCTTACCAGCCACCGTATCATCTGCTGAAGTTGCCGGTGTACCATCAAATCGCGCTCCCCCATCAAGCGCGGGTTTTCTTTTTGCCGCCTGGGTGGAGCCGAGCAGCACTTTTGACGCTAAGGCGGAGCGGAGCTATAGGGGAAGCATTAAATGATGGGGGAGCGTGATTTGATGGTACACCGGCGGCACATGCGCACTTTGTTGTTTACAGCCAAAATTTTCTTGAAGCTAAAGCTGAAATAATGGCCAAAGGAGGAGACGGCAGTGCTCAGGACATTTATTATCTCTCAAAGAAGACAAAGAGGGAAGTACGGGCATTTTTTGGATATTTGAAGAATGCCGAGTTGATAGAAGACGTCTATCCTGTTTGCAGCACGTGCAGAAAGTGTCTGTGAAAGGCAGCAACGCTTCAAATCTCATGACACATCTGCGTGACCATCACCCACAACTCTACAGTCAACACAAGGCAAGCTAACGTTAGCGTTTTTGCTAAAATGCGTGATCCGAGGATTTGCGTTGAGGGAGACCGCAACGAGTCGCTATATAAAGCAGCCGCAGCGCCGCTACCTGCATATAAACCGTGTCACGGACACCCCCATATTGAAATGATGCTATGCATTACGGGGCTCCCAGGGGCAGATAAGAGTTGGTCTCTCTCCGAGAATAATTATGAATTTAACAATGATTACTGCCTGATGACATTTTCCCACATCTGCAAAGCTCACTGGAAGGACACAAACCGAGGACAATATTTTCCTGATATAGGGTTTATTACTCAAGTAAGGGTAAAAAGTATCTGATTAGAAGGCTACTTGAGTACTGAGTGTCATCTGATCTAATATTTTTTAAATGACGACATCAAACAGACAAAAAATAAGAAGTTATGGGCAAATATTGGTATTTTAAAGACTAAAGGGGGAAAAAGTAAACAAATAAACAACATAATTACAAAGTAACAAATTTTAGGCAAAATTCTGACACAAACTGAGGACAATATTTTCCTGATATACAGGGTTTATTTAGTTGTCTGAAAATGTAACACGTTTAAAAAAATACCGTGATAATACCGAAAACCGTGATAATTTTGGTCACAATAACCGTGAGGTTAAATTTTCACACCGTGACAACCCTACTGCCAAATAAGTAAACATAAACATCAAGAAGAGCCACTTGAGGTGGCTCGGGTATCTAATTAGGATGCCCCCTGGATGAGTCCCTGGTGAGGTACACGCTGGAGGGACCATGGCCTGGGAACACCTTGGGGTTTCCCCAGAAGAGCTGGCCCAAGTGGCTGGGGAGATGGAAGTCTGGGCCTCTCGACCTAGGCTGCTGCTGCCGCGACTCGACTCTGGATGAGAAGAAAAAGATGGATGGATGGATGGATGGATGGATGGATGGATGGATGGATGGTAAACTATTTTGTTTGGCCAGACATCGAGTCCATAGGTTTCCAAATAAGAGAATGAACAAGACCATGTTCCATTCCTGGTGCGTTTTTTGCAGCTGAAAACACCATTGTTTGTGGTGCGCACTTCAGACCAAAGGATTACAATCCCAGGGATGTGATGGGAGTTCAACGTGCCTCCTATCCTTCAGAACCCCATGGTGGAGTTTTCGGAACCAAGTCAAGGAGGTCTGTGCTGAGCTCCAGAAGAAAATGGGGATCTTTTAAAAATCCCTAACGGGCCAGAGAACCTAGTTTCTGGGTCGGATCCAGGTCCAACCTGCCTTCCCTGACTAGGATGACAGGTGTCTCATGTTCGTTTACCCGTGTCCAATGTGCTGAAACTGGTCTCCCGAATGAAGCGGTCAGGTTCCTCGAGTAATATCTTGCCTGCCTGGTTCTTTAAAGTGGTTTCTCTTGTCTTGGCTCCTTCGGTAGTATCTGGTAAACAGCAGCTTCAGTCACGGCCTTGTGCCTCACACTTTTCAACATGCGGTGGTGAAGCCCCCGCTCAAGAAGGCAGCTTTGGACCCAGGAGTTATTTCCAATTTCAGGCCAATCTTGCACCTTCTTTTCTGTTACAAATATTGAAGAAGGTAGTTTATGATCAGCTCTCTCTATTTTTGACCACCCATGCGATCCTAGAACTACACCAGTCTGGATTCAGATCGAGGCATAGCACTGAAACTGCCTTCTTAAAGGTGCTCAACGATGTAATCCTGGCAACTGATGCTAGGGAGGCGGTGGCATTGCTGCTTATTGACCTGTCTGCAGCATTTGATACTGTGGATCATCAGGTCCTGCTGGAACAGCTAGAGCAGTGGGTGGGGATTTCAGGAGCAGGTCTGAGTTGGTTGAAGTCCTACCTGACTGATAGAACTGAGTGTTTCTACAGAGAATCACTCATCGTCCCAGAAACAGCTGAAAAGGGGCTCCCTCAGGAATCTGTGCTGGGTCCCCTGCTCTATTCAATCTATCTGCTCCCACTCAGCCTGATCTTCCGCAGGTGCGGTATTGACTTCTTTTGTATACCGATGACTGCCAGATTTCTCTGCCAGCAAAAAAGGGGCTGTCTGGCTTGATTAAGTCTCTGGTGGTGTGCGTAGAAGATGTGCATTCATGGTTGTCAGTAAACCTTTTAGGTTACAATGAGGGCAAGCCTGAAGTCATTTGTTTTTTCACCTAATGGCCATCAGCCATGTAGCATAGACCTCTTATCATTGGCACCATTTGAATGTAAAATGGGAACAGACCTTGGTGATTGGACTCTGGACTGACCTTTGATGCACAGGGGAACTGTGTAGTGAGATCCTGCTGTTTTCAACTCCGGCGCCTTGCAAGGATTAAGCCTAAACTATCCAGAAAGAACCTTGAGATTGTAACATCTGCATTTGTGCTTTCCAGACTCGACTACTGCAACTCTTTGCATGTTGGTCTGACCACTTCCACACTGTCAAAGCTGCAGATGGTTCAGAACGCTGCAGCGACATTCATTACCGGAGTGAAAATTTGGGAGAGCATCACTCCAGTATTACACGCACTGCAGTTGCTTACGGCAAAATTTTGCACTGAGATCACGGTTCTTGTATTTACATTCAAGTCACTAGCAGGGTGTCACGTTCTGCATCCCTGTGTTCCTCAGCCCCTTCCAGGTTTCCCCCTTGTTCCCCATTATTAGATCTCCCATTTAAGTTCTTGTTTCAAGTTTATGAGCTTTCCTATCCTTAGTATTGTATGTTTATGGTAGTTTAGTTTCCCCCCTTCAGTACTTTTATGTTCCTTCCCCACTTGGTTAATTAGTCTCCCATACCGTTCAATGTATTTAGTTCTGTCACTCCTTATCTTTGGTTCTCCTGTGCCCTTATTCTTCTGTTTAGGTTTATTTATGTATAGTCAGGTTATGGTTTCATCCCCTCCTCTACTTTGTTTTCCCTTCCCATTTAGTTTACTGATTTCAACAGTCTCCCCTCAGTTCTCTCTCCCCACGCACCTGCTTCTCGTCTCCTGATCACTGCCCTCTGTGTATAAAACCCTGTCTTGTCCTTCGGTGTTGTTGGGTCATTGTCTTTTCAACACGTTTGCTGCTTGTGCTCCAGTGTTCCCTGTTTGTAAGTTTATATCTCTGATTTTTGGATGCTTGGATTGTTGGGCTGAAGACTTGGATTCCAGTCCTTTTGTTATTTCACCTCCCGGTCTCTGGAAAAAAGGTTTTTTTTATTTGTTGTACTCTGCATCTCTCTGTGTGGTTTTGAGTTTCCTGCACCTTGGGTCCAACCTCCCCCACCTCAGGCTTGTGACACAGGGACTCTGCCTTATCTATCACCACTACTGCAGAACACGCCCCCTCAACATCACTGAGCTC